ATCGCTCTATCTAGACTCAATAGTAAGTAGTAATGGGGCCCAGTTGTCTTGGCTCCATTGAACGTGATGACGACAGTTTAAATAGGCCCTTCTAGAAGCTGGAATAAGTGGTACATAAATCATTGGTTTTCTTGCATACAGTCCAACCTTGTTCAGCCTTCATTCAGTAGTAGAACGGCTAATTCGAGTTCCATGTGACAGCCTGAAAGTCTAAAAACCATATCTCTTATAGTCACTTGTGGTTTTTTGTGTCAACAATGACAGAAAACAGTCTTTTGATGCAGTTGTTTTTCTTGGTGACCCTCGACCAGGCTGTCTGTCAACTGATTCAGTGCTTAAAAAGTGGCTCCAAATTCTTGGTATGACACTATAAGGTTTATGTTAATCTTTAGTTAAAAGTTATTTTCCTATCTTCCTGATTTCAGCTTACAACTTCCAGCCAGAACGTATTTTCAGAATCGCGTTTGAATCCAAATGAGGAGAAGTATTTAACTGTGAAGTTCTACTGTCTTCATTTCCCAGTCGAAGCCAGTGATTTCTGACTGGTGCACGTTCACCTTTTTAGGCTACTCTTAAGTTATTATTACGCTCAGCTGTACTTTAGGCCTTTGATAGCTTCGACGTTAGTTAGCCTTAAGGGGCCAACTCTGCTAGAATATTGATAGTTTTGTCTATATCTTTTTAGTTAAGTTAGTTAAATTTTATTGATTATTATTACTGATTATTCAAGCCCAAATGGAGGCTTCATTGTAACTCCTAAGAAGGCGTCGTCTGTTAACTTTATTTTGAATAATAAAGGGTAATTAACCCTTCTCACATTCTGTTCTCTGTCTCACAAATTTAAGTGATTATTTGCTTATCAGTTCTTAAGGTTCCTCAATTTAACTGTAACTTAAAGGTACATAGGTTGGAATCTTACAACACTTTGAGGAATATTCGAATTTTGGGCAGCCTCCATTTTTGTTTGCCCTCCCTCGATTCTACCAAATTATTTGGCACTTTTGACCTTAAATTAAATTATGCCTATGAGCCATAACTACTGAATACTGATCACTCTCAGAAACCACATTCATTTTAAACAAGACTGCAGGCTGGAATTCCAGCATGTGTCTATTGCGCACCACATTGTCAATCACCGAATTTGTATATTTCCAGCACTAACTTATGTGCAGAAGTGCAAAAATTGTATTTAATAAACATAAGTAATTACAGCATTGGTTGCAACATTAACTTAGTGAGCATATTTTTCTCATTATCTGTGTTAATTTTGATGACCACTATATACAATGTTGTTTATATGTATGTATTCTATGTAATGTAATATAGTTTAGTTTCATCTCACATGGCCACGATGCTAAAAGTAACTTGAAATAACTTTCATAGCACTTATTTAAGGGCAATGAAAAATTACTTTTGAATGCATCATTTTTATAAAATGGGCCAAATGAAAAAAGTTCTGGTTCAGTAATGTGCATATTAAGTGTAAATTAATAAAAAATAAGTAACCCTGCTTCTTGTTCGAAACCACGCTGTAGCAGTAACAAGACGTATTTACAAACCACATCAATCAAATCCAGTGAACAGTACAGAAGCAATTTTGCTTTCAAAGCCATCTAACTTTTTCCTTCTTTCTGTACTGTCATGTGACTGCTGCAGCATGGTTTCGAACAAGAAGCAGGGTTATTTATTTTTTATTATTTTACACTTAATATGCACGTTATTAAACCAGAACTTTCTTTCATTTTCAGAATGAAGTTGCTCTTTATCCCAATTTACATTTGAAAATGGTAGTATTCTTTCTTTATTATTACTTTTTAAAATGCAAGCAACAGTTCGTGGTAACTTCCATGTCTGTACAACTTACATCTGTTTGTACACATTGTATTTGCCATTTCAATATAACTGGTTAAAAATGAAGGTGTCTTGCTGATTCATTAATTGGAATCAGAGTATCTCATGGGATATCATGGGATAACCTTGGAGTCTGTAGTCAGTCAAACTTAAGTAGTATGAAAGTGTTGTTCAATGTGGAATACCTTCCTTTCTCTTTAGTGTTCATATCTGCTTTTATACAGAGGAATTAAGTATTGCATAGAAAGTTAAAATTAGAGTACCTCATGGGATCTAACGACAGAAGGTTTTCATAGTTTTGGATTTAAATTCATGTATTATGCTTTAGAGCATGAAAACAGAGTAGCTGAAAGGCATTGTATCCCACTTCCATTTGAGAAGAGAATACAAGAATAGTGGAAGCAGAAGACAGATTTAATGAATGCAGGTAGGAGTAAAAGAACTTTATGTACTCCTAAGTGGCCAAAGCTTGAGGAACATATTAAGAACTGAATTGTAAGTAAGAAGAAGAATGAGGTTACAGTTTAATGAATAGGAAAAATGATTTTAATTGAAGCGAAAAAAATTGCAATAGATTCATCTATTGCTGGCTTTTCTCAGATAAAATTATAGTGCGAGAGATTCTTGAAGAGAAATGGTTTGTGTATAAATACCAAAATTACATTAGCACAAAAATTGCCACTTGAATATGAAAGAAAGATTATAGACTTCCACAAATATAATCTTGAGAAAAAAGAAGTGTTTTTAGATATGACAAACAGGAAGCATGGGAAGAGGTACTCTTGACATTTGACATGCCATCTAATAGAACAGAACACGATTAATTTACATCATACATATAATCAGGCTGTAGGGAATAATTCGAAATTGTTGTAAATTATCATGTGCATAGTATAATTTAAAAAGTTTAAATTCCTGTTTGTTGAAAAATGTCTCATAAAAGGATTTCTATTTTAAATTACTTTTATAGTTCAAGATTAAAATTGTTGTTTATTAACAATAGTAGTTGCATTAAATAGGCTACAGTTTGGTTGTGCAATTATGATATATAGTTCTGTATGTTACTAATTGATTCAAATATAAAAAGAATAAAATAAAACAAATTTCTGTTCATTTGGAAATTTTTGCAGGGGAAAAAACAATGAAAATGCAATATTATGAAATATTTCAAAGCCCAAATTCTAGGTCTTCACATTATTTTTAATAAAGGCAATTCAAATCACAAAAATTGTGTGAAAAGGAAAAATATGCTTTGTAAAAATACAAATTAAACTTGCATTCCTGGTATTTAAATAATGTGTAAAATGCAGATCCTTGAGTAATATGTTATGTGATGAAGTAACCAGACTTCAGAGAAGGGGGGAAGTCGTGTTTAGGCAAAACATGAGTATATCAAAATGCGGATACAGAGAGGTTGTAGGCTTCTCAGAATTCTTAGCTTTCAGACCTCTTAGAATATAGGAAACTAGCGATAGAAAAGCTCATGTGATGAAATGGAAAGTAGATCTAGTTAAAACTTACAAGTGAAAGTAATGAAAGTTGTTTATAATGAAAGTTTTCCCGTTAAAAGCTGACTACAGCTGTAGCCAGTCATCAGGAAAGTTTATTACTTTGCATAAGAACTATTTATGACTTTGCATCTTATATAAAAGATGAAGAAAACATGAAGAGGGGAGTGATTGAGTTTCATTGAACTCAAGATAAGATAAAGCATTAGTCCTGACCTTACATTTTGAACTGCAACATCTTCTACTACTCTTTAGAAATGGGTTTTCTTCCTCTTACAGGATGAACAGCCAGTCATTCTATTGCTTCAGAATTTTGTAATTATTTTTGAGAATTGGGCATGTTTGAAGAACCCGTTTAAAATCCAGAGTGTCTGTTGGTGGTGGTGTGGTGTCCAGCTGCTGGTGTGGAATAAATATTTTGAAGAATATGAGTAACAAATAGTAGTTGTTAGTGGTGACCACATAGAAAGCAAATTGTCTGGGGATCTTATAAAAAAATAGTAATTGTCAATGGTGACCACATTGACAACAAATTCTCCCACATTGACGACAAATTCTCTGGTCACCATTGACAATTACTATAAACAAATAGTAATTGTCAATAGTGACCACATTGAAACCAAATTCTCTACATGTGTCTGCAGGTTTCGTAACATCTTTTGTGTGGCACTGCAAAAATTTGCATTTACTACAGTTATTCCTTAATAATATGCTGTCTAGTGGTAATATTTGGTACTAATTTGTCTTTTTGCTAAACACCTTTACTATTCCTTTATTACATCATATACAAAGTTTCACACTTTTCTAATGTCTGATTACTTCTGTAGGGCAGCTCTCAACTGAGAAACTTTAATTATATGAATACCCTTATAATCACTGTATAACTTACAACAAAATTATTTGTGCCAAAGAGAAAACATTATTTTAAGCTGTTATTTTTAAAAAAAAATTAATTAATTATTACTGTCCCAAATAAATGTTGCATCATATATTGAGTTTATAAAAATAGAAATAAAAGTATTTAACAGCTTCGTCATATTAATAAGCAAAATACTGATTCTGGAAACATTGCTGCTTGTTGCACATGATTTTTAGATGAAATTCCATTGGCTATTTTTAATTTATCTCATTAGCTATTTGTTTCAGACCATATTGATGTCATTCAAGCTGGTGATGCTAAAAGCAATTTATTTATAAACCAATTTCCTTATGGAAGTAGCAGTGCAAATAAATTTGGCAGTTCATTTTCTTGTGGAGATGATATTAATCATGTTTTTTAATTAATAATAAATAAATTATATAGGTGTGTGCATATATACCATTACTTGCTAGAAATGTAATCATTCCTTTTATTATCTCCTTGCTTCTTTCTGTGTCTAGAAACACTAATACTGTGTGTTTATTTAAAAAGATTTATTATGTGTTTATTTAAAAGATTATCATACTTTTTTGTAGTTATCAGAAAGTAGATTTTTAAGCTCCTTATACCAATGGTTTGTAAATACTTCATATTGAATGATATAACAATTTTTTACTCTGTTTTACTATTGAATGATATTACAATTTTTTACTTTCAATTAAAATATTTAATTTAGTATGTTATTTTGTAAACTTTTTTTTTTTTTTTTTTAATTTACACAGGTTAAGTATAGTCCCAACGCAAATATGTATGCCACATGTTCAAGGGATGGAGATATTAAGCTGTGGGATGGTGTGAGTAATAGATGTTTTAATACATTTCCAGGAGCTCATGATGGAAGTGAAGTGTGTTCTGTTCAGTTTTCACGCAACTCAAAAGTGAGAATTGTGTTGCATTTATATATTGCATTTTTATTGACATATTTTTATTAAAGATTTTTGCTGACAGAATTATTAAATGCATGTGTATTATTTAATGTGAGTACAAGTTCATTGTCAAGTTCTATATTATTAGCAATTCATCAGTATAATAACTCATAATATAGTATTAGTAACTGATTATTGATTGAAAAGGATGAGATATGAACAACTTTCTGTATGTCTTTTGCTTTGCACAGTTTCATTTACTATGATTTTTAATTAATTTAGTTTATTAATTGTAATGTATTTTTTGCTGTGTGTCTTTTTTTTACAGTTCATTGACTGTAATCTATTTTCTTTATCTTTTTTAAAAAGTGAATTGCAGTTGTAGAGACATTAGGATTTTTTGGAAGCATAAGACATGAAAAATGAACAATGCCCTTTCCGGGACTCCAACCTCAGACCTCTCGAATACGCACCAAGTGTGCTTCATGAAGAACCAAGTGTGCTAAGGAAGGCGGGAGAAATACCTTATATACTCCCCCTTCTAAAGCATGACTGGGGATTAGGTATCCAATCGCCAAATCCTGGTGGGGGAGAATCATCATCCACCACCCTTTTAGTCCGGGTGCCACTGTAGGGACATTAGGTTATTTTAAAGCAGGAGTGGCTGAAAAATGTGCAGTGTCCTCACTGGGACTCGAACCTTGGACCTTTCAAATGCGTGCCGAGTGTGCTGGCGATTACGCCAAGAAGGCGGGAGAAATACCTTATACAGTTAACACAATCCCAACAACACTATGGAAATGTAATTTGAAACGTTTGTTAAAAATTCCAGAAACGAGCAAAGTTGCAGATGGAGCTTAACCATTTTTAACATTAATCGCAGCCTCAAGATGATCCCAGAAGCAAGAACAGGTGCAATTTACATCTTCACACGACAAATCTTGAAAAGTGTGGTAGATTCCCATCCTCAGCTCATCTTTATTGTACTGTCTTGTGGTAATCCTTTCATATTCACGTACTGGATAACATTACACAGATATTGGAGGCCACATATGAGAGGGTGGGGTTAACATGGTCAAATAATTATTCTTTGATTGAGAGTCTTACTTGAATATTTATGCAACAGCAATTTCTTCAGTCTATATCTTGACTGTGCACATCTGATTGTTTTGGTGCACATTTTGGATCATTCTCAAACCATCATGAAAGGTGCATTGCTGGCTGCTGCATATTTGAAATCAAACTGTTACTTCTCACCCTGTGTTCAACCCATTCTTATGCTTTTGTGATAGCCATGGCCTCTATATCAAAATCGGAATCCAACTGCTTTTTAATTTTCTGAATTGTCTATGATGGCCATCCTAATGCAAATGAAGCAGGCTGTCCAGGTTTCATCTGATCTGTTCTGTATGTACCCCCCTTTTTTTATATGTCTTACTAATAATTGGAAATCTAGAACGAAGAAAATGTAGATCAAGAAAAGTTTCTGCAGTTTCCTTGTTTAAACTCATGCTCATTCTGTGTGCAAAACCTGTAGGTTAAGAAAGAGGAAAAAACCAATAATTAGCTACAGTAGCTGAGGGAATTATCGAAAATGGGTATAAAATAAGCCTCAGTTGGCAAGTCTCAACAAATGTAAATGAGTAATTAAACTAATATCATTTCAATGGCAACAATCTTCTTCAATCAACAACAAACATATGTATAAAGAATTTATTGACGAAGGATGTGCCAGTTAATTCCTTTTAGAAAATATTCCCACTACTGAAGAATTAATTGAAGCAACAGTCTTCAGTGTGCATCAGATTTATCCTTTGGTTGATCTTCTCAAAAGCAATCAAATTCCTTCCCATTTTATTAATTATTCATTTAATAAAGCAGCCATTAACTTTCGAAATAATCTTTGAACTAACTGGTTAACATCATAACTAACCTTCAAGTTATGATGAGTTTATCATAAACAGCCCCCAGAGGATGAGTTTAGATGTTTTGTTAGCTTCGAAAATTTATATATTCTGTATTTAATTGTAAATTACTTTAAATATTTCTGGTTACTTTCCTTTTATTAACAAAAGGTCATTTTGTTTTTGAAGATCTAAATACCACTGATTCTGATTACCACTACTGCTGATTGGCAAAGACTTTTGACTATTGTTCTTACTATTTTCTATTTCCTTGACTTTCAGCCAGAGAGTATTGCAATTTTTTTAATTTTGATTAACACTGAAGAGCCAAAACAGTATGACCAACAATGGGGGACCTCTATTATTATTATTATTATTTATTCCGTGTAGTGCCCTTAGGCACTACACGGAAGGGAGGGATGTCTTTGTGGAGTACTTTCTAAGGGAAAATGGCTCATATGCAAGTTACACATGGGAAAAACCATTAAAACATCTATGGGGCCAGCTCGTTTGTGGGAATCGAACATCAGACTGAACTACCAGTGCTCGGCAACTTTACAGCTAGGCCAATGGTAGGTCGTTGTGAGACCTTTGGCCTGCAAAACAGCTCCATCTAGCATTTGGCATGGATGCCACCAGTTCTTGGTAGATGATTGAAGACAAATTGTACCAAATGTCTAAGCAACAGTCACGCAAAGTGGAGATATTCCAATATGGTGGTGTTTGAGCTCTGAGCTGCCGATGCATGACATCTCAAATGTGCTCTTATCGGGTTAAGATCTGGTGTGTTATGTGACCCGAATATTAATTGAAATTCATCCTTATGTTCCTTGAACCACTTCAGCACAATTCTAGCCTTGTGACATAGTGCGTTGTCCTCCTGGAAGATTCCATTTCCATTTGGGAAGACGTGATGTAAGGATGCAACTGAATCGCAGTTATGTTTAGACAGCCCGCAGCTTTCATGGTCTGTTCTACCACAAGTAAGGGTCCCAAAGCCACTCATGAGAATGTTCTTGAAAGCATAATATTGCCACCACCAGCCTGTGTATGATCTGCTTATGGGGGGAGCACATCAGCGCTCCCCCCCTCGTAAGCACTACTTATTCATCCCGTATTCTACTACTTATTCAAGCAATCATGCTTGGATAACAGTGTATCCTTACACGACCATCGCCGTGATGAATGACAAATTGTGATTCATCTGATCAGGCAACTCTCTTCCAGTTATCCAATCTCTATGTTCCCGAGCCCACTATAGGCATAGTTGACAACAGTGTCTTCTGAAGCACTTGCATTTGCATTGTATTGTGCTGTCAACTTAAGGAAGATTAAAGCACTCGCTTGTTACCTTCACACTTAATATTTAGATTTTCTTTGTCTGCAGGCAATCAGTGGGCATCTTCGATTCCTTTCTCAACAATGCAGTTTTGACAGTCTCTTCTATCTCTTTTAATGCTAAACCTAAGCCTCCCTCAAGGATCAGTTCCAATAAACATCCTTTTTGATTAAAATCTTTTCTGTAGCAGCTGTAAAATTTAAACTGTAAGTTAGGATTAAAGTTACATATATATATATATGTAATAATTAAAATTCCATAGTCAAGAATACACTTAAAATTCTAACTGTATGTTCTTTTCATTTTTAATGGTGACGGTCTCTTATTTGAAAGTACGTGGAATTAAATCCACAGCCCCGTAGTCAAGTTGTTTTTCCTGCCTTTTCTACACGTACAGTTATAGAATGTTCTGGAGATATTTAAAGCGACCTGGAATGGCTGACGTCATTTCTTGGAAGCTCCGCCTTTCCAGAGGCTATAAAAGGACTCGCAAAGGAATATTGGGGTCTTTTCTTTAATGTAACGATGCAGTATACTTCATACAAAAAGTTATTAGTAATTCTTTTTTATTTACTCCGGAGGTATGATTTTTTGTAACTGCTATTTCTCCTGACCAATAATAAATGGATCCTGTTTTTTAAACTTATCGTCTGATAATTTAACTTACGACTACATCTATGGCTCTTCACCAGTCTATTTATTCCAGACAAAAGCTGGTACATCATATATATATATATAATCTTAAATTCACTTAGTGTGAAATCGTGTTATTCTACTACTTGCACAATTGCTGCAAAGTAAATTAATAATAATTTATTTACTTAAGAAATATTATTTATTTACTAAAGAATATTAATAATAATAAAATATTATTATTAATATATATTATCTCCTAAAATTAATTTTGGCAGTCGTGAAGCTCAGCATGAAAGTTCAGGCATGGCTTTTTGCAGAGTGGTAAGGAGGATATCCAGAGACAATACCAATTGATTTAGCTTTTAATTGCCCATTTTTATTTACTCCAATTAGCAGATCATTTTCCTTTTATATGACACTCTTTAAATTACATGTCCATAGTGGTTTTAACTAAGTATAATTGAATTTAAACGTTATGCATCATAACTAATTCTAACAAAGGAAAGAAGGATGGACAGAGCAGCGCGGGGTATAGCATAGGAGGAGTGACGAGCTTCTGGCGCAAAATGGTGCGCATTTAATATTTATAGTAGCGGTTACGTAATAGGCTTGCAAATTCTAGAAGGTACTGGTCTAGGAGGAAGACCCTGAATAGCAGAAAGTTAATTAAAGGTTGCATGTTTGCGAAGAGCAAAGCCATCGTATTTTTTTAACATTTTACATCTTCACCCCCCTCAAAAACAAGAGGTTTCATCTTGTGGACTAATAAGGTCACAAATGTTATGCAATTTTTCCAATAAATATGATTCAATAATAATTTTTTTAATAGAAGATGTTTAAAATTTTCTTTAAATATGAAACTTAGAAAATAGACAATTTATACAATTTATAAATAAAGTATTATGTGCATTCATTCTTCTCATCGTAGATAATTAACAATGCATTGACATATTTGAAAATAGTTAATAGTTAAAAATTCAATACAAAACATTACCATGCAATTCAGTATAAATAATATGATACAATAAAGCAATAACACTTTGAATAAAAAATTTTGGCATGTCCTCACCAACAGATCGGCGTGATTAGCTTGCTGATGGTTGGGGGGTGCTTGGTACAAAATATCAAAAAAA